TTAATACCTGGCAATGAAAACCGATAACAGGTGAAAAGACGTCATGTGCAAACCAACAAAAATGTTCCTTTTTCTATCGCGGCACAATAGCTGAAGTGTGATGTTCACCTTTTGCTAATGTGTCATGATGATGCTGCGATTCCACCTGTCTCCTTACATTGATCTCCGTGGTTTTTAATTGTGTGTATTCGTTAGACCGTTGCTAATACCTACGTACCTACGTATTTCTGTCGCATTGGTTCATGGTTGAAGATCAGACATTTTCATCCACAATATCTTTCATCCTGCGAGTCGAAGTGCACGAAGTCTTATTTCTGCTTATTGTGGGTTCACTATTATTGTTCAATCAGGGGCTTTCAATAACGCTGTGATTGTTCTCGTTTTCCCACTTAAGCAACACGGCTGTATCCCGTTCACTATGTATTTGAGAATTTCTTGGGCTTTGGCACATCTGTCACAGGGAAGTGCCATTTGTTTCCACCCTCTGCACCGCTGATGGGATTACAATAGGATTGCCTATACACCAACTCTTTCTTCAATCTTCGGCTTTGGTTTCCGTACAACTCTCAGCTATGATAAAGGATAACGGTTCGGATCTACGACAATTGGTCACATATACCGGCCTGTTGGCTGGTGACCTGTACATGACATTATCATATTGCTCAACACCCCACATGTTAAATGTTGTTGGAATTTGGTTTGCCGTCTTTTATCAACTTTAGCTCGGTCCGTGACTCTGAGCTACCACCCGGCTAAGAAATTTCATTCGAACTTTCATTCGAGTCTTGATACTTTTAGTGTACACACTCGCGAACTTGAATGGGGATCACGAGATGTGGTTGATACACAGAGCCACGTGAACAGGAACTAACCACTGCGTTATGGAACCTTTGTACTGCCGCAAGTAGCCGGGCTGAATAGCATCAATGGTCTTTTTTACCGAATACTTCACCGTCTATAACGATGGATCACTACTGCATCCCCTCATCCCCCGCAAGTTGGATGCCGAGTCTAACCGCCTTCTCTGACCTTTCTAGTCCACGCAGTCGATTGTGGTCGCGATTTAAGTCTATAGGGGGTGCTAATTTAGTAAGTGGCATGTGGCTCACTCGGACTTTTACTGCCATACTTCTCATTTTTGCAATAAGTGTGCGTTGTCTCATTCGTAGAGGAATCATTATGCCATTTCTTACTCATCGGATGCCCCTCCTATAAGTCGTGATCACGAAGTCTAGACCGAATTTCGTAAAAGATGAGGCAGTTCACCGTATCCTACATTTTTCCACTTTTCTTGGTATTACGGCTTGAGAAGTGGTGGTTCGATCTGTCTCTTTTCTGGGATCAAGTCATCGCTGGTTCCCAGGACTGACTCGATAGAACACTATGCGCGAACTAACCTTCGACGTGGGTTTGCAAATACAATCAGAACGCTTTTCGTGTTTTCCGCTTCCATTACAGTCGATATTGTTAGGATGGTGGCTCCAAATCTATGCTACATTCAAAAGAACTTTCATGAATTAGGATCGCATGCTTATTTTCGGCGAATCGAATTTTCAGTGGTACCCATTCAAACACATGTAAGAACGTACAAAGGCTGGTCTCATCCTGACTCATGGTTAGTGGGTATTTTCTGTTTGCATTCACCCGGTAGCAGTTGGCGTAACCTGTTTCCAAATTTACTCGTTTCTGCTAATGTGACTTACGCCACTCGCAAGACGTTCACGTATATATAGCCGGAGCTTGGGTGTTTAGCGTTGCGCCAACCACAGCCTCGCTCACACAGATGCGTACGGTAAATCGAATGCGAGCTAGAGGCATGACGGTTCCGGAGTATGCGCACACTTTGTCAACACCCATACCATCCACGAGCGGATAACTTCGCTCGACAGTATTCCGGAGTTGTGGACCCGAGTCCCACCACTGGGAGTTGCATTTGGCGAACATTCAATTCCTGTTGACCGATAATCTGAAGATGCATGCATACTAAATGCAAAAAAGGTTGCGACTAATCAACTAGCCGTCACATGATAGAACCGTTCTTCGAGTTCGTTACTGCCGCGAAAACTGTGTACCTAATCCCTCGCAATCTGAAACAAGCAATCAAGCTAGCGACGTCGGGTAGTTAGGTATCGTGTTTACCTTTACACACGGTAAAACCAAACTAATATAAATAAATATTTAGTTTCTCGACAGCGCGAAAGTCCAGTTAGTTGGTTCGATCAAATAGTACAATTGCATCGCAAAGAAAGATGCGATGCACCTCGTTTGACGTGATCCGTCAGTTGTGCGAAATGCATGTGTTGATCGCATGTTGATCGATAATACTCTCAAAAAGTTATCAAGTGATAGAACTGTACTCTTTTCGAGCAGTTACAGTGCATACCTTCGACCCTTAACAAAAATGGCTTTTCAGAGAGTATTCTTAAAGCCAACATGGGACGAAAGAAGGGGGCACTTACAGTCCTGACCGTGGAACTGAAGCTCTACTTCATATAACTACCGTATTAAAGGGAAGTCGCGGCCGAGACTGTCTCGTCGTCTTTCACTCACACTCACGTGTGCCTTCCAGGCGGTGATGGTGCAAATCCATTTCACCAGCAGCTCAGTTGTGAGACTAAAGCTCATAAATAATCTGTGTCGCACACCAAATCAGGGAGTATTTACTCCTTCCTGTAGAGCATGATAGGTTGGTTGTACGACAGACGCTTATCCGATAGGGTGAAGGAACGCCATCTGTCAAGTTCCCAAAAATCGATTAAAGTATGTCCGCAAAAGCCATCATAATTCCGCTGTACAAAGCACTCCTGTGCACACAAACAAGGATCCGTTAATTTTTGAGTCTATCCTAACCTCGAAGGAATGTCGTTGCTCCATGGGAGCGCGTGAGAACTATCACAGTGACCTGTCTGGCGGTGCTTTTCATCGTATACTAGGAACTAGTGGCTAATTGACGACTCGTTGGGTCTGTCCACGAATTTTGATTTTCCATATAATTGCATACGCTTAATGATGAATTCTTGTTTACATCGACTTTTGGTCACTCAGTTGGTTTCTCAACGCAAGATCATTCTTGTCGAGGGTAGGCTGATAACTGCTTGTGACAATATGCTGGTTTCCAGATCAAAATAATGCACTGTGACTACAATTAGTCCTGTCAATTGTATGCTGATATAGTTGGACGCCTTTCTGTAGTGGAGAATCGAAGTCAGTGATAAAGCATTTTTTACACCGAATGTACACGTCCAAGCTTCCTGTTGCTTGTGAAGTTGGCTTATTTGATTAAGGTGCGGCCGATTTTTCGGTCATATCTTACAGTCTAGCACCTGTGGAACTAACACTCAGTAGATGGGCGGTAGCCAAACTATCGCAAAGCGAAACTCTTCAAGAAAATGGTATGCAAACTATATACCAGTCGGCATGTATAACATGCATTTCACATTTGTGTGTTTATACGGGCACATGCGGACACATGCTTGTAGACAGCCAATAGGAAGTACACAACAGTAGGGGCCACAAAGTTGCGACATTATCACTCATTGGCTTGTTTCCGGCTTTAAAGATCAACTGCACGTTTACTTCCATCACAATGCTCGCTACAGGGAGACTTGGGTCACTCGCTCGTGTCTTTCGTTTTACGAGACAGCATGGCCCCGAGCTCTTTGCGTGACGCGTCGCATCGGAGAGTGATCGGTTTCCCTGGGTCGAGAGGCACTAACACAACTTTTACTTATACTCACCCTGAGGACCTCGTATGCTACTTGTTGTTCTCATGACCACAGCCACCTGTAGTACTCTTTCGAAGCGGAGAATAAAGCCAAGTTGGATAATCAGTAACCATCGTGGTTGCAGTCCGTTACTATTACGGGTTGTCGGAGAATCCAGGATCAGTTGATTTCCCCCCTCCCCCTAGCAGATGTAATCCGTGTTTATCCACTCAAAATCCATATTCCCAATTCTATCGAATAATGACATTTTACTTCCTTGCGTTTTGATCCGCTTTCTTGTAAACGTTTCTGAACTGTTGCAACTACCTTCACACATTCGTAATCTGTACTACCAATAACCAAAGGGTCATCCAAAGTATATATTTTACTAACTCGTCTGTAATCTTCTAAAGGATTGTTGACACAAATTGTATGCCGAACGGCAGTCAGTTATATCACAGCAAATCCCATTGTGCAGCTACCAAGATCGGGGGCTATGAAGCATATGATGTTCGTTGTCGTCTCAATCGGGCTAATCTCGACTAACTGTCTCTCGGATGTGCGCTTGACATAAAAAGTCTCTCCTGTGATATGCAATGCGTGAGTGCCTTCCTGTCGAGTATCCTTCCTCGATTATACTGACTCCAGGAGGCTGTTGCTTTTTGCTAAGGAGGACGAAGTGCATGAATCGGAACGCTCTTTATGTCAGGTATGGTTTCTTGTATCTTCCAGCACTCATGCGTCACTCATGGGTGTCGCGTAGACACTAATTCTTAATATCAGAATAATTTTTTGCTTACCCTCACATTCTCGTCCATCGTTCCTGTTGGTCTTCCTATCATTTACTTAATTTTTCACCTTTTGTCCCATTTCCGTTCCTTTTAATTGTCATCGGAGACGTTTGCCCGTAAATACCTGAAGCCGAGTGTTGCTAGCCGTAAATCGCGCTTCGACATCCTCCATTATCTTTTAGTCTGGTAGAAGCCACTTCCAAATGCTTCATCTTTGCGAATGGCATGTATGTCAAAATACTGAAACGTGTGAAGTGCACCCGTGTCAATTGCTTACCTTTTATGAAGGTAGTTTCTAGTAAGAACTGGATTTTTATTATTAGCCAATTTTCAGAGGATAGCTGTTGAAGTTGTCCGCTGCGCGTTGCTATTTGCTGTATTATTTTAATCATTTTCACTTTAGACTATGCTTCAACGTTTGTTATTACATTTACTGTTATTAAATTTACCATCTGTATCGTTGGAATGTAGCGTTTGCATCTGTCTTTTATTGGATTCCCACCAGCGTCAACATCGTTTGCGTCACAATGTGTGTACGGATTCCACGAATTCGGTGACCACAGACTCTCTTGCACTTGCGGCTCCTTCTCGGATTGGATCTCAACGCCCCAAGCGTAATTACTCCGCACAGGCAACTCCCCCTACTATCTCTCCTTCGTCGGCCGAAACCGCTTCGTGCAAGCGAACCCGTTTCGACCCTCTTTACATTTCAATGGAACAAAAAACAACCGGCGTTGTTGGTCCCGAATCTCAGTCCAAAGGTCGCTCTTCGCCTGGTTCACCCCTGTTCCTCGCTTATGATCGTCAACATTCCAACCTGATTTCTTCAAATGACTGGATTACACCTAACCGTACCGAGCTACTATCAAATGCTCATTCCCATTCTAATCTACGAGATTCCCTTCCGACTAGCCTTTGTCTGCCCACTCGCCAATCCCGGTTTTGTTCCCTATCTAGCACTGTCGGTGGCAGTTGTGGTGGTGTCGGAAGTGAGGGCGAAAGTGCTCCTCATACCCCTTACTCCAATGTGAGTTCCGGCGGATCGGATGGGCACGCCGCCCCTGTTCATCTGCGTGCCTCAAGCCTTTGTGTTCCCTTCACCGACCGGGATCCCGTTCGCGTCCAGCTTAATTCAAGTCGACCATCATCGTCCACATCTTATGACTTGGATGATGGCTCATATATGCTTCATCTCTCCTCGGGATACTTTCGTGGTACGTTCTTTTTAATGGTTCACATTCATTCCCACGTTTTCTTAGGCTTCAGTCCAATTCAATGCATCATCCTTTTACCGTAATATGATGGGTTTTGTTATCTCTGTTTTTATCATGGGCTTTAAGCCATGTTTCCTACAACACCGTCTACTTCTCGTTCCTGTTCACATACCATTGTTTACCGGGATCGCTATCAGCCTCATATTTTGGTAATTATGTACTATTACCTGCTGTGGACGGTTCTGTTAGCCTGGGTTGACTTTTGGAGTGCTGCTTTGTTCGACTGGCTAGACAATCGGGTTGCAACTCAATAGTCTAGTCCGGTGAGCAACTCAGCGCTTAAGTCACCTTTTCATTTGGGTTCATCATTTCTAAGTACCTCGGCTAAAATTCTCTTTGCTGGGTTCCTAGCTCATTCGGCGATCACGTTTGCGACTGTCTGCGCTGAGTCATCCGACTTCTTTCATCAAGTTGCGTTTCATATATTTGAAATCAGAAAAGGTATATTTCACCTATTGCACTTCACAATCCCCATCTGGACCGAGAAACCATTGGGTGGCTGGATCACTTTTGTGTATCTTTTTAACCACGACTGAATCTACCGTTTATCACTCCAGCAGTCCATCCATAGTGCAGAATTTCTTTCGCTTAACTTGCTTCCTTGCAGTCCTTACGTTTTTTCTCGGTGGTCCACAGCAGCTGACTTTTCGCCCCTCTTCAAGGATATCCACCGTTCCATAAATTTGCTTGCGATGGGGCAACAATTCCATCGGGTTGTTCTGTCACTTTTACCGCGATCATTTCCGTGTGTTATGGGCATTACTGGATAATATGAACACACACAACCTATTGGTATCAATTACTATCTTGGGCCATCGGCTTTAATTTCACTGCGTCCCAGGCATTAAACCAATGCATTTCCAGTAGGTGAAATATTAGTTTGCAATTCTGATTAAACTGGGTGTTTTGACAATCCTTTTAGGATGTGGTTCATCTTGTCCGCAGTGTTGCCTTTGCCCGCTGGCTCATTTAAGCCAACAGCGACGTTCACTTCACCTTCTCCATAATTCCTGTCTTAAGCTTGAGCCGTCACCCTTAGGACAGACTAATTTCTCTCGCTCTAATCGTCTTCAATATTTGCTGGAAAATTGTGAGGTCATATCGCCAGTCTGTTTAGCCGTCCCGGTTGATGTATGGAGCAAGTTTCTCTAGGTTGGTACCCATCGGCTTAATTAGTTAATTTATGGTGTGCCGCGGAATGTTCCCTTAGTCTTCTCTATATTTTATCACGATCATTGTTTTTCCACTAATTATTAGAGGTTTTCTACAATGACGGCTAGTTATTAAAGCAATTGGTCTGGTCATCTGGGGAGTGGATGTGTTGTGACGTGCCGGAAAACGTCGCAGTCCTTCTTGCGGCTTTTGCAGCATCGTTCTTTACAGTGATCTATCGCAGCCGTTTTATCTTCCTCCCATCCCGTTGTTTTTATTTACTTATGCAATGCAACGTCACAGATTGCAGGGCGATTGTTTATTTATTCTGTATTTATTATAACAGGCGGTGGCCGAAGTAATGGGACATCCGCTTTTTTAACCCGAATATCACCGGTTTGAATCTGCCTAGGTATGGGCGGTCTCGCAGTATGCTTATCTCTTGCACGACTAGTGGAGGTCATGTGACTGCGAAACGTCAGTTCGGCGCCATCGGTATACTACTAATTGTCCCAAATTTAATATGCCACGATTCAAGGGGCTGTGCATGAGCCGAGGATACTCGTTGCTGCCTTTAGTCCAATAAGTTGTTTATTTCAGGCTCACCTCCCCTTTTCATTTCTCTTCAACGTAGCGAGAGCAGATCCACCGAAAGTGACTGACTTCAACCTTAAAGTCTATGCAAGCCAATCGATTAACCGAACGGTCAACATGAATGGTTCTTACCCATATTGGTGCATCGCCTACGCTAGTAAGGTCATATACACGTCTTGTGACTCGACATTGGCTATGATCGCCGAACGATAATCTGTCGCTCACATGACGAAGTTAGCGAAAGTATGAGGCATTCTGATACGTATGTCCTTTTATGCGGAGAGAGCAAAATCGACCACATCAACTGTTAAAAGTTTCATCAAACACAACACATTTATCAGTTTGGAAGCTGTTACTCATACTTCTTCACTACCTCCGTCTTTGGTTGATTTCCCTAGTTTTTCCGTTTTGGTTCTTCATTGACGCCAATTTCAACATCTTGACCTGATAGCACCGAGCTCCAAATCACCACCAACCAGCAACGATTGATCATCGTTTGATGTTTAGTCCGCGAATAGTAATATTGGCTTGCATAATTGCCTCTCGACTTCGCCAACAAAGTATTCTCCTGTGTTTGATCCATACATGCCCGGTTCTCCTTTACCGACTTTCCAACTGGTCGTCTCTTTGTTGGGACGGAATGGAACCTTCTTACAACGACTCCCGAGCCAATCCAGAGGGTACCCTTTAGCTCCTGTTGACATGAGGTTACCATGGCAAACGTTCTCTTGTTAACTGCCACTTATTTCCGACTCATTACTGCTGATTTCGACCTAGCCCTCAACCGGCAGTGTCCTCTTCCTTCCACCGATAAACCTATTATATCGTGTTTGTGACCATGTTAAGCCCCAGTCTCGAACACATATCTTGGTTTTACTCGTTTATGTGGAAATGGAGATCGCATGCGGTCATCCGCGCTGTTGACGCTTTTCCCTTCGAATAATTCGTTTTTTTCACACCGTGCATCCATTCGTCTTGGACGTTTACTTTTACCACTCCGCTCGTTTCTTCGGTTTACCCTTCAGATTCCGACATAGCTAATCCCACAACTCAGCAACCGACTAATTTGTCAACGAAAGTTACCGATGCAGTCTCTGGAACTTCCATGTCTTCCGATATCCCCGCGCTCGCTGAGCTCAACCGGTATGTCGATCACGGCGGGTTTACTCAGCTTTTCGTCTCACCTCTCACGCTTCTGTTCTTCATTGATTCACTGCATGGTTTCCAAATCACGATACTCTAGTTTCGACAATTCGGCTGTTACTATGTTTTCGACTTACTGATTTGATGATTGTTGTCAGCTCGGACATTTGGTGAAGCTGCTGGCCCTTTTCTTCTACTCATGATCCTAACCAGTAGCTTTTAGCTCTTTATGTCTTTATCACACTTTTTGCGTTTAATTATTTCGTCTGCGCATCACTACCAAATTAGACTAATAGTCCAACGAATACTCGGTCATGCTGACTTGGTGTGTTATACAGTTCTGGCCAACCTGTGTACTGAGTTGCCTTGGCATAGCTATCCACTGAGTGGTGATTGCCAATCGCTCCTGACTATCTGCCATAGCGTGACGGAGGCCAAACGATCTTTCCGATGCTGCACGCTCGCGTTCGTCCATCCTACTCGTTATATGATGGCATATGGTTCTCTCAGTTTTTATAGAGAAGTGCAATTCTTCACAATTTATGCATTCAGCAAGGATTGTTTAAACGCTTTTGATGGCACTTCTTTCCGTCTTTGTGCTGCTCCTTTCTTTTTATTTGTACTGGTTGCCTACTGCTGTCCCTATTCCATGTTTTTTTTCACATTTTTTCCACATTTTATGTCTACGTATCTTCATCCATTCATGATGTCCCGCCTTCTTTGTCGTAAGTGGCATGGTGAGCAATGTATCTTAGAAAGTACAGATGAGTCTCCCTGCCCTCTATGGTTGACTGCATATTCGGTCCTCAAATATTTCTCTCAGAGGTTGCAAAACAACATCAACCAAATGTGCCACTCTTATTTGACTTTACTGTCGAACGTCTTATTCAACCAAAGCTTTACACTGCCTTTACACTAATCTTATTCTCTTTTTTTTGGTAATTGCACAATCTGCTTGCATTTGCGAACTGTTCTAGCGCTTTCTTTTCGATTCCTGTCTGCATTTTTCTCATTTTGGGGTTAAGCAAGTAATGACCATACGGAATTAACACTGGCGCTAATCCAAGGGAGACGTATTCGGTCTCTGGATTGTAATCTTCGCCACTTCAATCGCAATTACTGTTTCACACTGCTGCACGCTTACCGTTCTTGATGGGATAGAAGACAGATATCTTTCAGCCACTGATTTCTCACCTGTAAATGTGATCAATGCAGTTCATGGTCACCGTCAGTATGCAAAACTCATACCAACCTTTTTATCGGGATGTTATTGACAGTCACATTCTGATTAACTGTCACTTTTAGAGTCTAGTTGTCAACGAAGTACGTTTATCACATATTCTTGGGTCCGCTATTGAGAAAACGTTTTAGCACTTTTTAGAAATTGTTCAATCTTGTTTCATCACAATGACACTCTGCCTTGACGTGTTGCGTTAGCCTGCATGTCCTTGACCTATTGAACGCTACACATATCCGACATGTCGATGGTCTGTGGTCTGTCTTCAAGCGAATCTTGGTGGAGTCAATTTCCCTATTTTAACAACATTCTATCATCGGAGATAACGGTGTACGGGTCATAAGCTCAAACTTATTGACCTGTCCGAAGGTTAGCGAGACGAACTCTTGTTGGTTTGCTACCACTCGCTTGGAGTTTGAATGCTCCTCATCAAAAGGATGCGAACCTGCTGTGGCCCACCGGCTGTTGGTTGCGATCTCAGGTGTATGATTTACGTCGGGAGAAAAACGCATTGAATCTTTTGTTTCACTGAAGGGAACACTACACCTCGCTACATGTGTCGGACCATTTCTTCACTGCTTAGAGATGTTTACTCCCAACCGAAGCCTCCCTATTAATGGGCGATCGGGGATTATCATCTACCCACAGAACTCCGCCATCAGTGTAGCTTCATTTAGGCTGTTTTTTCCAAGCTAACTACAAGGGGAATCACACTGACTTCGCTACTCTTATTTTTATTTACCTAAATCCCCCCGCAGACCAAAAGTTCTGTTCCACTTTGCTTCATGGTCAACACTGGCACCTCGGCCATTAGGCAACCATTGCTTTAAACTACACTGTCTTGGAATCGATGAGGACCGTCATTCCTATTCACCCATGTAATTTATCAGCTTCATCGCAAACCTTTGACTGTCCCGATTGTGCACACGTTAACCGTATTCTTCGTGTCTCTGGTACTATCAGCTCAGTGGTTAGGGCTATTTACCTTCAGACTATGGACAATGTTTGAAGACAGCTCCTTTTTATTACTTAGTTGTACTATACCACCGACGGCAACTCCAAGGCCCGAAGACGGATTTTATCGGTAGATGTCACTTTTGGTCTCTACAATCAGAAATACCAGTCATTACTCAATGTCATTTTACAGGTTCGCTAGAGGTGGGAAGCACCTCAACTACTGTGCCGTAATACATAACAGAAAAGAACGGAAAAATATCAAACAGATGCAAACCAGCTGAGCTATCAATAACGGATGGCCATCGTTCCGGAAAGCTACCAGCCGGATAATATGCAGCAACCAAAATTTACTATGCAAAATCATATAAGGCTAAGTAGTGAAATCGTGCTTAAGGGTCAAGGCTAAGAGGGATGGGATGGACAAAGGAACTCACAATACGAACGCCACTGTGGTCGACTCCTAGCCATGTCAGCAAGTGTATCCAGCCAAACGTGTTCATCATCTTTCGGACCCCAACCAGGGAGCCGTGAAGCTCCAACCGAGGTCAGGTCCGAAGTGAGGGCCCTCATTCCTCTTGACCAAGTCATCGCTTGGCCACCCCTCCTCTTCTTCCATCCACACCCCCGGTGAGCAAACAGCGCACGTCGTGGAAGTCGGTGGGCTAGCATACGGAATTTGTGGCCCAGCCACCGGAGTCGGGTGCGTGAAATGATGGTGCTGAGAGGTTCATTTCCTTTTCCTGTGCCGTAAACAAGGCGTCGAACACGCTCGTTGCGCACGCGGTGTTCCCACCAGATGTGAGCCAAACTGCGAAAGCACCGATGGTCGAACGTAACTTGCCTCTTTATGTTCGCTGATATAAGGGGTCAGGTTTCACAACCGCATAGTAGGGTCGAACGTACCGCTGCACTGTACACTCTACCCTTCAGAGCGAGAGTGGTCGCGTCGGCAATGATACCAGTCATTCCCGGTGTCATGTATGTTCACGTAGTCACTTACCAGACACCAAACAGCATCTAGTTTCATGGTCAGTGCCTACCGAGCATTTAATGGCCATTAGCTTCTTCAACCGTGTATTTACTACAATTTCATGCTATTAGCGTCGCTTCGCGGCACGGCTGTCCGTGTCACGTTATCTGAAATATTCCGAATGTAACAAGTCGACGAATCCAAATGAACCTTTTTATCACCAACCACAAGGGACGCTCATCAGGAAAAGTCTTTGCATGCTCACGTTTACGCCTTGATGTTTTTACAAATTGCTTCACTCATAACACCCCATGTCTTAGCGAGTCGCCTAACATTGATAAATCGTACTTATCCGCTGGACTTTCAGTCCACAGTTCAACAACGTTAAGAGTGCGAACTAGCCGAAGGGTAGCTCTGACGGTCAGGAAGAACAAGTTTTCGAGTCGTGTGCATGAGACGCAACTGTGCAGTCGTGTACGTGCGCGTTAGAGCGGACCTGAGCTTGTGTCCGATGTCGTTTGCCACCTGTTCTCCATTGAAGGCCACTTGAAGGGCACCTTGAGGCACCTCGTGACAACAGGTCACAGTGTGGACCCCAAGACTGCGTTCAAAGTGCTATTACGTAACCGGAATCCGATAATGTTGGCAACCAGTGAAGCGTTGCTAATCAGGGCTTATCAACCAGTGCTATGTGCACAGAAACTGTTGAGGCAATCAATCCGATTGCCTTGGACTTGATTTTGACGTTTTGATTGGTTTGCCAATTTTTTGCCATGTATATAATTGTGTATGTGTTTCTGCTTGTATTGTGTATGCGACTGACGAGAACAATCGAAATGTTAACATGTCGCAATCTGTGCCTTCTTTCTGCTTTGATCAAGTGGCTGAAGGGGACCAAATGTTTTACGTTTCTGAAAAGAAGACTCCCCGTTACCGTTGCGAAGGCATTAGACCGATTGTTGTCGTTGCGTTGTAAGCTGGCTGTAGAACGCACGAGGATAAGCTTTCTTGAAGGTTGTATCCGATCAGGCTGATTTCCGTCACGGTTTGCTAAGGCACTTTTGAAGAATAAGTTGCCTGTAAATAGCACTAATTTGACCAGGATCGCGTCGGCACACCTCGAAGCCTGTGTGGAACGTGAACGGAAGTTCCTCGAAACACAGAGACGATTCGCTGGCACCCTCAATGAGTTATCGTTGATTTGCCGCTTGAAATTTGGAGCCTTTTCTGCAGAAGTTCTCCGCCGTACGCGAATGAAAACAGTTCATAGTCTACAGGGTTCGCTTAAAAAGGCTACACATTCTTCCTTCCCTATCGATTGCTCGAAGCACGTATGTAATCTATCATCTGCTCAGTTCACTCGCCTGCAGTTGGAAGTGCTTTCCCTTGGAATGAAATATCGGTTGCCACCGAAGACGATAGACAGGCTCAGCACGCAGGCTCAGTTTGAATATCTGTATGACCAGCTCAGTGATCTCTCGCCAAAATCTATAGAATATGCAGGCTGGTTTCGGGCAAAATTGGTGGATATCGCGAACCAATTCCTTAATACGCCAGTAAGCCAGAGATGTTGCCTTAATGTTGAACACTATGCCGCGATCAGAGAGTTAAAAGAAATGGCAAACGTAATCTTCCTGCGGCCAGACAAAGGATCAGGTATTGTGTAATGAAGAAAGATGACTACGTTTCGAAAATGGAGTCTATTTTGGAGGATAGACGTAAGTTCCTGATAGATACGACACCGGAGAATAACATCTTGGTGGAGAAGCAGGTGGCCAGAAAACTCCAGATCCTTTTGCTACACGGATACATCACTGAGTCACAGTACAGACAGCTGAAACCGACTGGGACGCAGACACCGAGAATGAGGGGCGCGCCTAAGATACACAAGCCAGGCAACCCACTGCGTCCCATTATGTGCATGAACAACTCGCCTTATCACAACGTTGCCCGGTGGCTGGCGAAACTCTTAGATCCCATGCGTAAACTCTTGGCTACGCACTGCCTGAAAGATTCATTTGAACTAGCGGAGACGCTAGAACAATTCTCACTGGGTTCGGAAGTAATGTACTCTATTGACGTGGATTCTCTATTTACAAACGTGCCACTTCAAGAAACATTTGATGAGTTGTGTCATTTCATCCGGAGTCAAAACATGTATGTGGGTCTCCCTGTGGAATATTTGTGGGATATGATTCTACTGGGTACAGAGAATGTACGTTTTGAGTTTGCGAGGAGAGCATACAAGCAAATCGACGGAGTCGCCATGGGTAGCCTTCTGGGACCGGTCTTGGCAGATATCTTTCTCGGCTTGATCGAAAGGCAAGTCGCTGCCAGTATTGATGAAGCAAGGTTATACAAAAGGTATGTGGATGACATTCTGGTGTTCACCAACAGCGAACATTTTACTCGCCTGTTAATCACTTTAAATTCAATTCACCCCAACTTATCAGTCCCCCACGAGATAAAGCAACACGGCTCTCTGGCATTTTTGGATATCCTCATTAATAGTCGGGTCGGTGGTGCATTGCAGCGCACCGTTTACCGCAAGGCAACCTGGAGTGGACAGTACCTTCACTTTTCCAGTTTTGCCCCGGTTGCATACAAACGCGGCCTAGTGAAAACGCTTTTCTACAGGGCCAGACGTAGTTGTATTCCGGATACACTGAAAGCCGAAGAGAAGTTTCTACTTAGGACCTTGGTGGCAAATGGTTATCCTGAAAAGATCATCCAAGTGCATAGCAGACTCCCTAAAAAGAAACTGCCGGTGCTAACGGCAGAGAAAAAGGCTGTTTATCTGTTCCTGCCCTTCAAAGGAGACCAGGTTGCAAACGACATCGGACACAAGCTCAGGTCCGCTCTAACGCGTACGTACACGACTGCACAGTTGCGTCTCATACACACGACTCGATAACGTTAAAAGTGGCTGATGCGTTGCTGGTTGCTGGCTGACGAATGAGGTGGATCACCCTAATGTCTGTTGGAATTCACCCAAATACTCTGTAGAAAGTTGTTCTCGAAGCGGCTTACCCACTTGACTTGAGGTATCTAAACTGTGAATCGGTCTCTGGGGATTCGATTATTTTGACTAAATTTGGTTACGCTGGCTGTTTCAATGTTCGTAAAACTTGAAACGACTTGTGTCTCTGATAGCTTATAGTGTTGCGATCATTTGAGATGGGGAAGGCCACGCCGTTGCTAACGGCTGCACGCAGTTCCATGTCAATCTCTGCACGGATTATAGAGCGTCTACAGTTAACGCGATGAGATGGCTGGATACATTTTGCCCACCGTTTTCGGATGATCAGAACGATTAATCTTATGGTCAGCTCAGTAAGCCTGTTCTATCACCGCAATTTGCAGAATTACACACTGTGAAAGCAATTTGGTGTGAACTCGATCTATTGGAGTGGGACATGACATATGGACCCAGTGGCCTTCCTCTGTAGCTGCAAATTGCAGGGCGTCGCTCCAATCCAGTCGACAAGCCCATGTTCAACCAATGGGATAACGTCAGCTCATCCGTTTCCCTTTGGGGTCCTCGAGTCTTGCTGAGACTGTCATGCCTCAACGTGCACACTTTGCTACAGATTTGCCGACAGGCAGCATTTGCCCGAACACTTGAGACCCTTTCGATTTATATTTGCCTTTTATCGGAAACCCGCTCGCAGGTTGCGAGCTCCTTGCTTACTTTGCTATCCCTCACATGTGACACTGGTGGCACATTCTCATTGTGCCTGTCTGGGGATGACGCAGCTTCAAATGCAGTCCAAGCTGGCGTCGGCATTGTTTTGAGTCCCCGGGCTGAAGCTGTCGTGACCAACTGGTTCTCCGTCAACAGCCGGATGTGCACCATTAGGTTGGTTGGCTCATTCCAGGCTTCGAAGTCGCGCAGGGACAAACAGTGCCTGTATGTTATTGAGGCTTACGCCCCTACAAACTGTAGCACTGAATCGGTAAAAGATGCTTTCTATCACCAACAGCGATCTTCTTCGTTACAGAAGAAGCATGTATACTGTGGTGCTTGCTGGTGATCTAAACGACAAGTCGGAATATTGTCCTCTGATAAGCTTCAGCTGGGCGGCCAACATAGTAATGATAATGGTGAGCGGTTGCTACACCTGTGTGAAGGTCCTCGTCTCTTTCTTCCGAGCACTAACTTTCGACATAGCACCCGCAGAAGAGTGACTTGGCGCCCACCAGCCTCGGGCCAGCCATGGACGAAAATCGATCACATCGCGATTGGTTACCGCTGGAAAGGCTGTG